CTTCTGTTTGCGCGGTTTGGTGGCTCGTGCAGTACATCTTTTAGGAATCTTTCTTCTTTCCTCAGGTTCTCTTTATCACATATTCTCTTTGCTCGTTGAAATAAAGCTTGAATCACGGACCTCTTCTGTTGTGGGTGGTGGTGGGATAAAGCCTGCAGGGACTTACCTATTCGTATGCGTCTTCTTTCGATATACTCCCAGTTCTATGCCCCCATCTGTCTTCCTAGTGACCAACACATCCACGAATGACAACTGTTTTGCAGTTTCTGGTTCAGTTCCTGGAGTTGCTCTTTTGCATATTTCCAGATTACAAAGGTGTCATCGACGTAACGGAGCCATAGCTTCGGATTCCACGGACTCCTCTTTAATGCTTCCTTTACAAATATCTCCATGTAAAAATTGGCGATCACAAGTGACAGCGGTGATGCCATGGCTACCCCTTCGCATTGCTTGTAGAACTCTCCCTTCCAGCGAAAATATGTCGACGATAGGCAGTACTCCACTAGTCCTGGGACATACTGTGTCAAACCCTCCGGGATGAGTTTCTGGTGAAGACTCCTGATTGATTCTATAAAATCTGACAGAATTGACAAGGTGTTTTGCTAGCTGATAAGTAGAAGAATTTATGGCACTGACAATAGGGCGTAGTGGGATCTCTAGTTTATGGATTTTAGGTAATCCATGTATACTTAGTAGACGATAGGGGTACTGGGACCTGTGGGTGCGGCGGTCGAACGATTCGATTTTCTTAATCTGCTTATCCCGACTTCTTTGGAATTCACGTAGGTGTTACCCTCATTTCAAGATCCTTGATTTGTTTGTTAATATCCTTCCCTTAAAGGTTGATAATATAAGTAGGAAGGCTTTCACGGCCGTTGTTAATTAGAATAGAGAAGACGGTTGGGAACTCAGCCGCACATGGAAGATGCTAGTGAACTCAACAAAACCCTCTCCACCTGGATTTGATAAAAACAACTTAGTTGACAATTTATTGTCAAATTTTCACTGATTTCGTCACTTCGAACTTGTCTCTGAAGAAGGTTGCAACATGGCATCCGAAACGTCAAACATTTTTTCAAATGATGCACGGCTTAACCCAAAACTTTCTAGGTTTAATGATAGTTTTAGTTTAATTAGCACCAGCCGTGAAAGCTTTCGTATATATAATACAAAAGGTTTTTATAATAAACTTTAAGTATTATTTACTTCATTAATAACATAAACAAACATGTCATGAATGTAGTTGCAAAAGTTCATCAAAATTAGATTTTTATTTCATATGGATCAACATAAATCACGTTTAGAACTAAAAGCTGTAATTGCATACTACAAAGCAGCAATTAAATACTGCGACCTGTTGGAAAAATGTGTCACAAAATACACCTCAAGTTGTAATTCTGTTATTTACAGTCCGATTTTCAAGAATTATTTATCGATTAATATGGTTTCATGAATACTATGTATCATGCTGTTTTATCATAACGCTTTTATGTTCTGTCCTTCATGCAAAACTGAATTTACACCTGCTACTTTACTTTTCTAAAACATTTAATACAGCTAATCATTAACTTATTTTAGCAAGAATCAAGGTGGTCATGGTTTTGAAGATGGTTTTGTGACTATACATTAGATGCTCTATTATTCACTGTTTATACATTTGAGACGGTAATATACGATTGCGTTTGCTCAAAACTTTATGTTTATGGATATTCTATAAGAACTTTCAGTTAGATGATATTCTGATGTCTGTTGCAAATGTTTTAGTTTTAATTTATTGACGTATAATATAAGTACATCCATAACATTAACAAAAGAATATTTGTATACATAAAAAACGAAAAAAAAAAACAACATAAAGAAAAACGAAAAATGTGCTCCAAATGGAGATACCTCAGAACAGTGAAGAACACTGATATGTTCTTCCGGAACTCCATTAACAAAAAAAAATTATCAACTAATGGTAAAAATAATAAACCTAAGGAAAAAGGAAAAGAAACGGCATCACGAAAACTAGCAATCATAACATAGTGTGGGAGTCTCGGAGAGAAAAAAAAACAATAATTGCGAGACCAGTCAATTATGACAGGTCAAAAAGAGCCTTTTGATTTTCTTCTTGAAGAAGACACTAGCAAGGTGCTGGCATTCAGGAGGAACAGAGTTATAATATGAAACAATAGTGTAAGAAAATAACCTCTTAAACAGCTCAAGCCTTTGACGCGGTATTGCCAGTTAATCTTTTTTACGTATATTAACGTTGTGTACGTCAGTTCGAAAACGAATTCTTTCATACAAGTACTGTGGTACCCTCTTATCCAGCACATAGTGGTAGAAAACAAATGCATGCAACCTACGACGTGCAGCCATACGTAACCAACCGATATCCTCATAAACATGAGATATGCGATCGCGATTTCTCAAACCAAAAATTAATCTAATACAAGAGTTGTGTAGCTTCTGGATACGATATTTGTCACGACCATTAAGACAAGGTCCGTAAACGACATCACAATAATTAAGATTAGACAAGACAAGTGTTTCGCAGAGCAATATTTTTATTCGTTTATGAAGTAAGAAACTAACATGCTGCGTAAAACAAAGTACGGATTCCAGTATGACACTAATGACAATGATAACATACTCTTATCGGGGTTAATAACTAAATTATGCTTTTCTGAAAGGCTAACTAGAGCATCCAGGTCCTCGTTTATATGTACTTGCATAGCAGCAAGATCTTTTTCATTAAAAGATGAATATATCTGAGTGTCACCAGCATAAGCATGATGCTTACAATGACGCAGACAGTCGTATAACCGGCATGTATACGCTGTATACAAAATGGGACCCAATACAGAACTCTGAGGTACACCGGATATAACTTGAGTGGGTCTAGATCTATTTCCATGTATCATGATACTTTGTGACCTACCCGCCAGATAGTCAGCAAACAACGATATCGCACCACACCCAAGGCCCGTGTAGTGCAAACTACTCAACAATAATGAATGATTAATAGTATCAAAGGCCTTGGAGTAGTCCAACATAACAAGCACCGACATCCTCCCCTGATCAACCGCAGACAACAAGTCGTCAGTGATATTCAAAAGCGCTCCACAGCAGTCATGATGAGGTCTAAACCCAGATTGGAATTCAGGCAAAATGTTACACGCATTCAGATGACGTCTAAGTTGTTTCGCTAAATTTTTTTCAAATGCCTTCGAAAGACTCTTGACTCTTTCCAGCAAGATGGAAAAACATGTTCAGTTATACAAAAATTAAAAATGTGTCTGATGAAATGTATGATCAAGGGAGAACATATGTTTATCATAGATATAGAAAGCTGGTCAGCTCCCTGAGCATTAGAAGAAATAGCGCTTAAGGCATCTCCCACCTCCTCCTCAGTCACCGTAGTAAACTCAAACACATCCACAATATCTTTAACATTGTTACCATAAAAATTTAAAAGGTCTACATCTGGCAGTTGGTCACTTTATACTGAACAAAAATAGTTGTTGATTTCATCAGCATCAGAAAGTGAAAGAGGAATCTCCTTATTTTTGTTAGAATGGACACCGCACTTCTTTAAACTTGACCATAATTGCTTTTTATTTTTATTCCTTGCTGAGAACTCTACACAAGCTCTTTCTCTCTTTTTATGGCACCTGTAGTATAATTACGCAACATTTTGTAATAGTCCCAGTTATGTAAACTGTTTATGTGCTTAAATTTATGAAGTGCTTCGTCCCTTAAATCCGCCAAAAGTTTCACATTATAAAAAGTGTTTTTATTTCTGTTAGCTAAGGTGTTTTTTTTTGTAAATGTGTGTGTTATAATAGGAGCATGTCGATCAAATAAATTTACAGTATTATTATTTAGAAAATTCAGTTTGGCAGCAATATCATTGAAATCAAAGATGGAGTGCAACTGAACTTCTCTTAAATCGGACATAAATAATTTATTATCAATGTTTCTAAAAGTGCGGAAAGTTCTTGCGACGGGAGGAGGGAGGAAATTTGTCAAAGTAATTGTACAAAAAACCAGATGATGATCAGAAATGTCATGAACCGCCACCACACCAGACGCCACAACAGGAGCACTGTCATCCGCAATCACAAAATCAATTAGCGTACTTGTACGAAGGTTAATTCTAGTGGGCTCATTAATATATTGCTTTAAACTAAATACTTCCAACAGTGCACAAAAATTACAATAAGCAACACTTGCAGAGTTAAATGCATCTATGTTACAGTCCCCCAAGCAAAATATCGCGTCCCTAGACGGCATAATCAAGGAAAGTGCATTTTCAAACCTATCCAAAAAACCATTAACATTACTATGAGGTCTGTAAATAACTCCAACTGTAATATTTTTTTTATTTTTGATATGTAACAGTGATTTATATAAACTTCTAGACATCACTAAAAAGCATACAGTTTTATGAAATAGAATTATTCCCATTTTATTTATTTTATATATTGCTGTCATCCAAATTGCTAATAACTTCAAATGGTAAATATAAGTTGTGTTTTTATTTATTTGTTTTTTTTTTTCGTAGCACACGGTATAACATGAGTGACGTTGAGGAAATGTACACAAAGTGCTTCAATTTTTTTCTCAAAATTTAAAACTAGATGTATTGTAAATGAGGAAGAACATTTGCGGAGTAATTTACAAAACAAAAGATTCACCAGAAATTGAAAATGCTATTGAAAATATGGGTTACTTGAAACAGTATTCATCACATCATTTGATTTGATACCTAACTCATCAAAATCAGTGCCTAAATAACATAGTTAAATAATCCAGATCTTGAAACAAGCCCCATATTCTTCCAACAGTTCCAACTATACTCCTACAATGATTTACGAGTATTGTCAAACAAGTTTAATATTTACTATAAATATATTTTTAAAAAAACGTTATTAAAAAAAACATTATCCTGTAAAATGTTATAAATAAAACAGTTGCAAGGCATATAAAAACGATTTTATTAAGATGCAGAATTAATTTTGAAAGCGATAAATCAATTTAATAGGTAATCCATTTTTTGATTTTAAAACAGCATCATTTCCAAGTATAGGACTATGCTCGAAATCAGCCGGATGTAATTCAAAATTTCTTAAGATGTTAACTAAAACGGATTTTATATTCATCAAGGCATATTTTTGTCCTAAAATGAAAAGTTGTGGATTTAAAAAATTAATAAATTTACAATGTACCAATGCAATTTCTTGGTCCTGCGCTGAAAGGAATATATGCAAACGGGTGAACTTTCGTTAAATTTTCTGGTAAAAATCGATCTGGATCAAAAACTTCTGGATTGGGGAAATATGTTGGATCTCGATGTTGCGAGTAGGGGTGAAACGAAACTGTTGTTCCTTTCGGAATTATTAAACCTTCTAAAAAATATTAACAAGGATTAAATTGGAGTTATTTTTTGTCTTCGTCTTACTAATTTCAACATCTTCCATTACTTCACGTTCAAATAAACCAACCGGGGGATAAAATCTCATGCATTCTTTTAAGACCCTGTCAAGGTAATTTAATTCCTTTAGTAACGGTAATGAAATTACATCGTTACATTCTCCAATAACTTCTTTAATTTCAGATAGTAATCTTTCTTGAACTTTAGGATTTTTTGCTAGCAGATATAATGAAAAAGCAATACATGCCCCTACAGTATCATGTCCCTATTTTTAAATTATTTTTTATTATTACTATGGTAATAAGTTTTAAACTTACTGCAAATAAGAATGTATTTGCTTGCCACTCGATTTCTTCATCACTTAATCCGGGGTATTCTAAAAGTATATCCATAAATACTTTTCGTTTTTTTATACCAAATTCATCGGAAAGCTCCAAATCAACATTTCCTCCTTTTTTATCTTTTCTTCGCATATTAATCACATCGATTGTAATATCTTGAATTTCCTTTGACAGTTTTTTAAAAGTCTTTGATTTAGAAGTTAATGAGAAAAAAAAGTCAAATCGATTAAGAACCGAAAAGAATCTACAAATAGATATGTCCAAAATTTCATCTATTAACATCGAATAACGGCTATTTTCATTCGTTTGGGATTTAAAATTAACACCCATTGTTGCTTCTAAAAAATTATTAATTCATTTTTTAATGAAATAATTTTTGTTATTTACCACATAGAGAATCCAAAGCGTAATTTTTCATAAGATGATGAGTATCTATAGTTTTACCAGAATTTTCTTTTAAGATATCAATCAACGTTTTCGCGTTTCTATGGAAACTTTGAGGAAATTGTTCTAATATATTAAAATGAAAAGCGGGTGTTAAAATTTTTCGATGTTTCTTCCATACATTTCCTGTTAAATTATATAATGTTATATTTAAATAATTAATTTAATAATATTAATGATGTTATTAAAGACAACCTGCCGCTGTTATTAAACCATGACCTAACCAGGCTTTAAAGACGTTGTAAGAGGATGATTTATGTGTATGAACATTTGACGATAAAAAATATTCCACTAAATCTATGTCGGTGATGAAAAGATTAATTCTAAATGGACCTTGCCAGATTCTTACAACTTTTCCATATGTTTTAATAACTCGTTGACAAGTTTGAAATAAATCTAAATAAATTAAAAATTAAAATAAATTTTAGATTTTGCTGTAATCTTACTATAAGGATTTGATCCAAATTCGTGAACGTTTCCTAAAATCCAATTTGCTGGTGGACCAGGAAGCTTGTCTAAATGTTTAAATTTTGATATTTTGTTTTGATACCATATAATTAATAATGATGTACATGAAATTAACATTATTGTTAACACAATCATTTTAAAGATTGTACTGTATGTGTTTATCAACGTATGTTTCGAACTAACTACTTATTTAAAGAACCTTTTATATTTATATCAAAACTTTGACCTTCTGTTAAGTCATGGTTATTTTTTATATTTAAATGCTCGTTAAAAATGAAATATTTTGACTTAATGAATAAAATTATACAAAAAAGTTTTTTTTTGCTCTGCAGCAAAGCGAGCTTAGTATATTATATTTATTGTAGTATTAAGTGTAAAATGATAATGTATATGATAACTTTTCTTTCCTTTACCAAGCGCTACAGCCGCCTGAGATGCTCAATAATCCGTGTCGATTCGGAATTAATTTCAAATTTTAAAATTTCATCATCAGCAATGTAATCTTTCTTTGTTTTAATGAGTTGAGCGAATACTAGCGACCAAACTGGCGGAGATAGTGCGCTGAATGTTTAGATTTAAATGCTAATAGAAATGAAATGGACTCTAGAGCAAACCGTGTGTTTAGAACGAAATTGACACTTTTAAATTTTGTATTTTTATCGTGTTCATATTTACTGCCTCAATTGAACGTAAGGAAAAAGCTTGAAGGAGACTCTATTTGCTAGTTTGCTAGAAGAAAAAGATTTCATAATTTTGCTTATTTTAACCCGTATTGTATAAGTATAAAAAAAGGCCATGACTTCTTCGCCAACCCAATAAATCCTGTTCGTTACATTTTATCATAATTTAAATGTTTTGAAACAGATTGCTGATTAACTATTTTTATTTATGCGTTACTATATTGAAGAATCTGAATAAATTGTCGGAAATTTTGGAGAAAATCGTAAGGGGAAAGGTGGCTAAACACTTGATTATCTTAGTGATTTAGGTTTCTAGCTATTAAAACTAACTAAACACAGATTTTTGTTCTGATTGAATCGGTGAAAAATAGATTGTGAAATACTGTGATTTAGTATTACAACCACAAATTTAAGTTTTTAGAGGTGAGTCTCAACTATATAATTCGTAGCATTAACTGGTTATCTTTACTATACTAACCGTTTTATTATGGCATGAGTTTCTAAATAAATTTAAATTCGCTTAAGTGAAATCATCCGTTTCTCATATGTTACCTTGTATTATTGTTTGTGTATCGCTTATGGTGTTGTTTGGTTTTAATCTGTTGAATATGACTTTGCTGACGTTTGCTCTGTTCTGGAAAGCTCGATCAGGTTGTTGCCTAATTGCCGCTCGTTTTATTGGAATTTTACTGTTTCATTGATTCCGCTGCACATTTGACTTAATTCTTCTTGCTCCTCATTTCATATTTTGTGTGAACCCTCATCTCCTTCTTCTTACTTACACATCTTTAATTCAATTCGTATTGTTTTCTATTAATTATTATTAAGCATTAAGTCTGGACATTTTTCGATATTAGGTGTATAATTATTATGAGTAACATTTTGTATCCATTGTTTCGCATTATCCTAGAATACATTCGGTATTAGCTTCTGTTCTACGGTTTAACAATCTATCTTGGTCGGTGAAAGTCAATTGCGCCGTAGCAAACTGTGGGCAGCACTACAGAGGGAAGATCGTATACAGTACACATCAAACGTATTATAACAGTAACTCTAGAATTAACAACGGCATATTGATTGCTGCAACCAGACTTTATACTAAGAATGTACACTGAACATTATAAGCATAACAAATTAGAAGAGATCAACATCAGTCTATATTATCGAAGTCTAGCCTGAGGTTGTAGATTTCGGTGACTTCACGAGATGTAAATATCTGCTATGTTATTTACAAAAACTACTTTATAAATGAGGTGAGCTGCAAAAGATTGCAACTGCACTGAGAGAAATGGATTGTACTATGCACTAAAAATATACTATAAGGTATAATACGTTTACTACGAATAGTGACAGCGAGACGAGATTGTATTCAGTACAATAAATATAATGAATATAATACAATGAATTGCTGCATGTATAATATTTTTTCTATAATACGATTCGTACAATCTATTTTTCTCAGTGTGCCAGGTTGATAGTTAACGATAAAATATCGTATCTGAAGAACACTTGAGATGTAATGATGAAATTAACAGCATTTTAAAGCAAATTTTATACAGATTCGCAGTATCATAAAAAATTCTTAATTTCCATAAACATAGTTATTGTTATTATTTTTAAAAACCCAACTCGGCTTATTTGATTAGGTACTCTAAACTTTAAGAATAGATTAGAAAATTGTATCTCAAAAACTAATGAAGATATCATCATAAAATAAAAAACATTTGAAAGCATTGTAGAGATCATTTCTTGAAATCTTCAAAACTCAGATTTATAAAGTTTTGAACGCAACCTTGCATAACTTTAAACGTAAATGGTAATTAATCTTTAGGTATTTCAAAACTAATTGAGATATCGTTATGAAATAAGAATTAGTTTAAAGCAAATTTAATGAAGCCTTAATGTACCATAAATAATTTATTTTACATAATTATTGTTGTTGTGATTGTTTAAATCAAACTCTGCATGTTTGATTGTAATTAATATGAAATATATATTTTAAAAAATTGTATCTCATGAACGAATTGAGATAGATATCATCATGAAATAAAAAACAATTTAAAGCAAATTTACTTATTATTTAATATTTTCAAGATGTTTTCTTCAAATTTTCAAATTTTGATCATATTAATTATTGAATTCAACCTTGCATAACCATAAACAGTAATGTTAGGATAATAGTTATTAATCTTTACGTATCTCAAAATCTAATTGAGATAGAATCAACATAATAAAATTTATAATCTTCAAGCGGCTTAAGTTTATTTTGCGATGTGTGTACAACATCTATAGTTGTTAATGTTACAAGTCCACCTATCTTACATTAACGATTTACTGTCGCCCTCCTTCTTCTGCGCAACTCACCAGCCAAGATAGATTAGCCAAGCTGTAAGTTGTTGAGGTCGTTCCTTGAAACGATATCTTTTCAAATGGAGCCCTAGCGTCAGATTCATTCAAAACTTAATTCTCTTTGTGCGTTTTGTTTCCACAAGGAGTAAGAGTAAACCATCAGCCAATTTCTGGAATCAATGGCAATGTTATATTTCGATACCCCGAAGATTTTATGGCGACACAGAAAGATGTCCATAATATTATTGGTACCCGATTTGTGGAGATCATGGGATTATTAGCCATCTAAAAAGTTTTCAAAAAAATATATTTATTGAACAAGAAAATTTCATTCAATCTTCACCAAAATATCTATTTTTGTGAAGAAAAATCTTCTTTTGTTAGTAATGAAAAGATTCTTTTAGATGATATAGTAGAATTTTTATTTAATAAAGCACACAATTAAATAAAACACTTGTCTTTAATCAGTTTATTACAACACCTTCATCCAAACACATCTTCACTCTATGCCGTCTTCTTCGTGTGTTCCCTTTTTTGGGTATGACGTCTTGTGTGATGAATGATGAGTCACGTCTTGTTCTGTACAATGATCTTGCAATTTTTTTGAGGTAAAAGCTATGCCCCTGTCTGATATAATTTGATATAGGTCCAAAGAACCTCCTTTGCAGTTACAATCTTTGAATAACTTCCCTTGTAGTTGTTGGTAACAAAATTTTTCTTCTGCATGGTTTTCTGGAAAGCTGAGCAATCCGTAATAATTTTAAATTTAATACCCTACAAGTAAATTCTGAATTTCTTCACTGCTTCAATAACTGCTGTACTTCATTTCGGCCGGTGTGGTCTTCTTACTCATGAACTAAACTGGATGGAGTCGTTGATCCGTAGGATCTTTTTGCAGCAATATAGCTCCGTATCCCATTGAGCTGGCATCAGTGTGAATCTCCGTTTCATAATGTCTATTGTCAATTCTCAGTACGGGTTCTTATGATAACATCTTCTTTAAAGTTTTAAATGCTTTAGTTTGGTCTTTACCCCATGTAAACTCCATGTCTTTCTTGAGAAGGTCGCTCAATGGTTTCGCCAGATCGTATTTCGGAGCCAAAAATTCGATTCTCTTCTTTAGATATTGACATTTTTTCAGTTCAATTCAAAGCCGTAGTCTTTTGCGGTGCCAAACACTTCCTTGGCCAAAACAATTATATCATCCATATACAGTGTGACCCGTTTGAAAGCGGAACACCCTCGTAAAATTTGTATTTATTATCCGATTTCGATAATTTTTTTTTTAATTGTAGAGCGTAAAAAACTGTACCTTAGGACAAAGAGTGATATTTTTCTTAAAAAAGCCAAGGCCTACTATTTCACTTTTTAGGTGCTAAAAATGAAGAAATCATATTAGGAAATTTTTTACAAAAAATCTGAGTACACCACTGCATTAAGCACCTTTTGAAATGGGCATATACCAAATTTCATCAAAAATGGTTACAAATTAACACCGTTACAGATAATTGAAAAATACAATATTTTATGAATTTATTTGATCAGATGGAGTAAACCATGACAAAAAAGGAAATAAAATACAGCCAATAATACAAAAACTATTTACATTTGTAACCATGGAAATAAAAAAATAGTTATCTAGTAAACCATGGAAATAAAAAAAAAAGAATTGAATTCTATGAAAGTGATTACTTCTGTCAGTTTTGTGCTTATAAAAATTTTATAAAATGTGTGCAATTTAGTGGTGTAATTATGGAACGACTAAGTGTTAGACACAAAGTTGAAATTGTACGCCTTGTTGGCGATAATATTCTTTCGAAAAGAAAAGCGGCTATAGAATTTAATAACAGGCATCCAGATATGCCTCCGGTTAGTGCTAGCACCGTTCACCGGGTAAATAAGGTATTCAACGATACAGGCAGTGTATCAAAACAAATTCTAAAAGTTCAAAATCCACGCCGGGAAATTAGAAATAATAATCAAATAGTGGAATATTTTCATAATAACCCTCATTCGAGTTTGTGAACGGCTGCCATAGATTTAAATATTCCAAGAGAATGTATTAGAAGGTGCCTTACAAAAAATAAAATTAAACCCTATAAACCAAAATTTCTACACACTCTTGAACCAAGAGACGAAGAGAGAAGACTAGAATTCTGTTTATGGGCTCAAGGTGAATACTTGGAAAACAGAA